GGACAGTCTTAAGCCGTCGTGAGAAATATTAAACACGTTAAATATTTGGGCTTTAAGGCCAACTCAGACAGCGTCGGCCGACGCAGCCCGACGCGATTTGTTGTCGCGTCGGGTCTGTGTGAGTTAAACCATGGAGGTATTATTGAGAAGGAGATCACTCGGCAACAGATCCCTTTGACGCGACAAACCTATGTGTTCCCCGCCAAACGTTCTTTACGCGCTGCGGCAACTTTGATCTTGGTTCATTTGCATAGGGCTGCGTGCGCGTAGCTTTGCCGAGTGATCTCCTTCTCAATAATACCTCCATGGTTAAACGCAGACGCGATGGTGTGCGTCGGTGGCAGTCGCGTCGTAAAATATTAAACATGTTTAATATTTTTCACGACGGCTTAAGACTGTCCCCGACGATAAATCGGGTCGGGCTGCGTCAGCCGACGCTGTCTGAGTTGGCCTTTAAACAAAAGAGACATCAAGTTGAGCTTCCAAAAGGAGAAATTAACATGTTTTACTAGCCACATGCGATAGTTCCTGATTTGCACGAAATCCCCTCGCCTTGCGATCACCTAGCTTCACCATAACAACAACAAAGATGGCGCCGCCCTCGATCGGGCTCAACTATAATAGCTCTCCAAAGAAAGCAAATTTTCAGTGACTGTTCAAATACTTTATCGTAATATGTTAATGGTTTTATATTTATATAGCGCCTTCCACGATCGAAACCCTCTCAAGGCGCTTGAAAAATATATGTGAATAATGTATGGAAATAAATTTGACCGGAAATAACCTAAACTAACCAAACAGAATAACCGACAAAACAGATAAAAAATAGAATCACACATCATCACACCGTTTCACTGACCGAACAAGGCCGGTCAGCTATTGATTTCACAGGTGTCATAATGATGTGTGTAACTAAATATTGGCCTATCGAGCAACGAAAATGAACTAATGTGAGTGGTCTATAGTGAGTTATAAAGATGAGTTTTCAATCGGCTTTTGAAAATCCCAGTTGAAGGTGCCTGGCGTACATAATCGGGCAGGCTGTTCCAAAGCTTAGGGGCAGCAACTGCAAATGCTCGATCACCATAAGTTCTGAGACGACTTTGGGGAACGAATAGCACAGATTTATCGGTTGTTGACCTAAGGGATCTTGTACAAGTCGTGGATCTTGTCACAATCATCTCACGGATGTATGCTGGTGATGTTAACAAATAATATAGTTATTATTATAGAAAATTAATTAAGCGAATGATGGTCTATTATGAATTATGGGGAAATACGTTTTTGAACCACAGACGACAGCTTAATATTCATCCACATTACAGGATTTCTAAAATTTCGTCTGCTATTAAAGTTAGCCCTTTTCATTGGTTAGTTTGATAGTCTTGGCTTGCTATTCGTCTTCAGTTGAACTAAAACTAGGACTTGAGTAGGTCGTAGTTAAAACTTCGACTACGTTGTTTGTGAATACAAATTGAAGTTGAAGTTGCAACTAGCACTAAATGAAGTTCTAGTTCGAAGTTCGACTAAAGTTTGTTTTAAGAATACGGGAGCATGGATAATGTATGTTTGTTAAGTTTTAAATAAATTTAGGAATTTAAAGATAAGAATATTATTCCATTTATTAAAAAACATAAATGTATAAAAAGATCTCACATGAGTCTTAATTAATGTTCATCAATGTTTCTCAAAACCTGCTTATTGTTCAGCAACATATACCACTAGTACAAAGTCCTATGATATTCGCTATTATCAATATGTATGTTGTTAAATGAATAAGCAATTAACATCAAAATAGTGATATAAAGTGCTTACCCAAACTTGATCACCATGACAAAAGCATGGATAATGTATGTTTTTTTTTCTCTCTTTTATGGGTTCATCCCACTTTTATTTGTCAATTCAGTAGTACAATTTACAGCATGTATCGCTCATCAACATCAATATTTTACATCATATAAAAATAGAGTTATGGTATAAAAGAGATTCCTTTTCATGTACAATTTTAATAATTTGATTTTTGGAAAAAAAGAATTAAAACCATTTTCTCATATTTTTCTGTGTTAAAAAAGTGTAAAGAGTGACCTATGGTTCCACTTGTTAAGATTTTTTAAAACGTTAGCTTTATAAACACTGGAAAAAACGACCGAAAACAGGTAATCAACATCAATATTTCCCGTACCTAAAACAATGTTTTTAAAAGTAGTTTCGATACCAAATCTGTTGACGGTTACACTATTTATATATTTTCATAGCATGCTTGCTTCAGTACAACTAAATAATAAATGTTCTTCATCTTCAACAACTTTAAATGTTTCACATTTATCTGACTCATATAACTTCCATGTACAAAGCCTCTTTTTAGTGGGCACTAAATTATGCAACAATTTAAGGTTTAATTGTTTAAGTTTGTTTTCCTTGATATGTTTAACTTTCCTTTCCCATGTTAAAAACCAGTCAACTGAAATATTAAAGTATTGGTCCCATTTTGTTTGACATCTTACAGGTTCTAGACACCTTTTTTCTGATAAAATACAGATATATTTTTTTTACTACTCATATTGCACCAGTCTTGAATGGGTTTAATATTTTTGTCCATGCTTTCAACATAATGTATGTTTGTAAAGTTTTTAATAAATTTAGGAAGTTTAAAGATATATTGTTCCAATTATTAAGAAACATAAAGGTATAAAATATCTCACATGGATATTAATTGATGTTCATCAATGTTTCTCAAACCTGTTCAGCAAAATATACCAGTACATGAGCCCTATGATTTTTGCCATTGTCAATATATTTAAACATTAACAGACAACGCGGGGTTGATCACCATAACAAAAGCATAGATAATGTATGTTTGCTAAGTTTTAAATTAATTTAGGAATTTAAAGATAAGAATATTGTTCCATATATTAGGAAACAAATGTATAAAAAGATCTCACATGAGTCTTAATTAATGTTCATCAATGTTTCTCAAACCTGCATTATTGTTCAGCTAAATATACCAGTACATGAGCCCTATGATATTTGCCATTGTCAATATGTTTAAACATTAACAGTTATTAGCAAATAAATATATCTAAATATATATGTATAAGTGTGTATTTGTGAATATGTTTGTGATCATATGGCAAGTGTTTGCACAGTGATACATTTCAGTCTACACCACAACTCTATCTGGAACACTGCTACTTCCAAATAAAGAAATTGTTTAAATTTATTCCCAGATCTCTATAGCTCATGTACTTTGTAAAATGTATATGCCATACCTTCAATAATGTAAACTCTATAATATTTATTGCTCTATGGGAAAATACAGTTACAGATTTATTTATTAAAACAGCTAACATAAGATAACAAAATTTCAACATAGGATAAATTTGGAAGTAGCTGTATACACAAACTGAATAAGCTACAGATGTTGCGGGGTTTTTTTTATAGGAAATATTTCTTGTTATTATTACAAATGCTATCACTACTACTACTAATAACAACGATGATAAAATTATTAAGATATCAAGGTAATAATAATAATAATAATAACAATAATAATAATAGCCTAACAATATTAATAATAATAATAATAATAACAACATAACACCAACAACAACAACAACAACAACAATAATAATAATAATAATAATAATAATAATAATAATAATAATAATAATAATAATAAAAATAATAATAATAATAATAATAATATCGTTTGAAGGTTTTACGAACTATAATAGCTGTCTCTTATACACATCTAGATGTGTATAAGAGACAGATATATATATATCAGTCATACAGCCTTTCAGTATTTTATCTTATTTACAAAGGTAAAGACAGTATTCAATATTGTGCCTTAGAATATTAATCTCGTTATGGCAATACAGTGTGTTTGGCCGACTGGTTACTTTATGATATGATATGGGCCGGATCCAGCGGGGTGGTCGCCGACGTCTGAACCTCCCCCTCTCCACTAAAATGTCAGTGCTTTTTAGTATGCAAATGTGCAAATGTTGGTAATAGCAGCTTTTTTCTTCTTTTTGGGGATGGGGGACCGTTGGAAGATCATTTTATGAGATTAAATTTTAGGTAATCTCAAATTATTTTTAGCTTGACTCAAGTTCTCAACTGATCCTGCGTTATTAGTCCTATCTGCTTTAACTAAAAAAGAATCCACTTTCGTATATCTTTCTTGATCCAAGTATAGGTATTTGACGCCATTGGTCACAAAATTGTATTCACCAAATTAGCTATATATGGTGTCAGGGACTTTTTCCTCGACTAATTGAGAGTTTTCTTTCTGATTGTCGTCACTTTACTTCTGTTTTATCCATTGATTCTAAATACTATGAAGTCGTCTGTGGTGTACCACAAGGTTCCACTTTGGGTCCTCTTTTATTTCTAATAATATGTGAATGATTTGCCCAATTGCTAAAAAATTCTTAATTTCATTCTTTTTGTCGACGACACAAATTTAATTAAAAATAAGCATGCATTATTTGAAAAGCTAAACAATGAGCTAAAGATCGTTTCCATATTGGTTTAAATTAAATTAACTTTCTTTATATTTAAAAATAATTATATTATTTTTTTTAAGTCGTTAAAAATTATATTTTTAGAATTTTTTTTTATAGATTACAAAGAATTATCGTGTGTAAATGAAACAACTTTTCTTGGTATCAACATACATTAATAATTGTCATGAAAGTCTTATATAAATGGTATTTGTAATATTGTCTCTAGAAAAATTGGTATAATGTTCACTAAAATACATACTTCCTAATAATATACGTCTTACTTTATATATATTACAATAGTACTTCCTTATATATCTTTTCATTACGGATTAGTAAATCGACCGACTAATTACAATATATTGAGAGGCTTTGGATTTCGTATTTAAGACCATACCGAAAATCACAATGTATGCTTTCATTTTTTTTTTTTTTTTTTTTTTTTTTTTTTTTTTTGGGGTGGGGGCCCTAATTTTTTTTTTTTTTTTGTAGAGTCCTGGTAGTAACAGCACCGGTGTCATGGTAGAATGTCCAGCAAGTATGGCGAATCCGTCATGCAATAGTGGATTTAAGATGAACGCCAATGGTGACGGTTGGGTTATTAGGAAGGAGTGCATGGAATACGTAAGATTTGCATTCAACAAATTTGTCTTTCCATTTTATATTTTCTACTTTCGAACTGATCAATTTCGAACGGCATGCTAACCTATGCTTCTGGTGGTGGAACATGTCTTCTCGGATAAGAACTCTAAACCATAGGCCCAGTGCACACATTTTGGCTGGTGTGCACACACGAAGAGACCCTTGGTGAGAAGCAAGTTACTGTAGGAGCTAGTACCCACCTCGAGCGCTTTGAGACTTCTGTATAAAATATTAAATTGTAAAACAGAAGGTCACTAATTAACGACGTATAATATGTAGAAACAGGCCCGTAGGCAGGATTTTTGATGGGGAGGTGCGTTTTTGCGACCGAAGCGGACCTCAGGATGGGCAACCGCCTAGGGATACCCGCATGGGTGGGAGGGGGGCCGAATTTCCCAAAAGCCCCGACAAATTAGCATTTTGAGGGCCTTAATGCAGGCTCGGGTCGACACGGAACTCAACTCAACTCAACTTGTCGACATGAATGCTCTGCGCAACTGACCGGAACTGACCGCATCTGACAGTCGCGCATATTTGTCGACATGAGTCAAGCTGAGTTGAGTTCCTTTCAGTTGCCCATGTTCAACTTTTTGCGGAACTGAAAAAAGCGCGAAAAAAATGCTGATTCGGAACTCAAAGGACCTGAAAACTTTGATCCCGATATTAATCGTAATCAAGATGCATTAACTGAAAAAAAGATACTATATATTACAATGTTTTGTTTTAATGGCAGATTACTTTATTCTTTGTTTTAAAAAATATAGGCCATAGGCCAGATTTTTATTCTAACACATTAACAAATAGGTCTAGGCTAGGCATAATAATAATAATAATAATAATAATAATAATAATAATAATAATAATAATAATAATAATAATAATAATAATAATAATAATAATAATAATAAGAATAATAAGAATAATAATACAGCATATACTTACCATATTCTAGCTAACCTAGGCTAGGCCTAGAGTGTAGAAAAAAGGCAGGCTTCCTATGTCCAGGCCTACTAGCCTACATCTAACTCTACGTACGACGAGTAAAGACTTGACAACTAACTAGCATGCAGATTTCACTTCCAAAATTCATTTTTACGAACTATAATAGTACTTCTTGGCAGTGTGCATTTGTTTTTGAAGTTAGTTTTGTACAAATTATTTAACAGTAGAACATTATTATCTAGGTATAGGCTTAAGCCTAGGTCAAGAAAAGCTAAATTCCTTTCTCAGAAAGTCTCTCTTGAGTTGAGTTGAGTTGAGTTCCTTTCAGTTCCGTGTCGACCTGAGCCTGCCTTTATAATGGATTTCTGAAACCCATAATTCGTAATATTCTATATAAATTTTCATTCATTTGGGTATTGTTTAGGGATCTAAGGCAGGAGAAATAGAGGGTGGGGGTGCAGGAAAAAACTTTCACAGACGGATGGTCAATGCCACCTCAGCCCAACCATTTATGGGGCTGAGGTAAGAAAAGTTATGATTATGGCACCTCTAGATGGCCGGAAATGGCACTCTCAAACAAAATTTAATTATGATTTTTCTTTTTTCGCCATTCTTTTTATAATTTTAGGGGGCTTCCCCCCCCCCGAATCCGCCACTGTGAAGTTGTAACTTAGTATGTCCTTTACATCTGTAGGCCTACAGATGACATGGATCAATCTGCAATCACTGGAGCTGATAATTTCCAACAGATTTCGTAGCACATTATTAAAAATCAACGGTTAAAAGAGAGGGCAAAAAATGTAATGCATACAGCATTTCGCGATAATTAGGAAAGATTTTAGTGGAATATAGGTTTTAAAATGTGGACTTTTTGAAATGTGGTGGTCCGGGGGCAGAGGCCGGGAGGGGGTTTGTGACAAAAGGAAATGTAGGCATACATTTCTCAAAATGTAGATCTAGTTTCCCAATTTCTAATTTTTCAAAACGAAGTTAAAATTTTTCAAAATGTAGTTCTAATTTCTTAAGTGTTTTTTAAATGTCAGTGAACATTACTGTTGAAATAAAAAAAAATAATAATACAAATGCCCCTTCCCCCGTTTGATAAATTCTGGATCCACCCCTGTTCAATGGGACTAATTAAAAATGGTTACGTTTATCAAAATATTCGAAATCCTATTCTGTCGTTTATTAAGGAATGCTTTTGTCAGTATACATGTCGCTTTACTTTTGTTTTATTTTACACAATAAATGATTTTAACTACAACCTTCCAACTCCTAGACAATTCAATCCCTAAGTCAGAACTCAGTTGGCCTATATTATTTCTCTGTAAAGCGCACAGGGGCAATGTGCAATATGCGCTATATAAATAAAACGTTATTATTATTATTATTATTATTATTAGTTATTACAGTCGCTTATGATTTTCTAAGTACTAAAATATTGAAGAAAAATATAGATGAACATGTGTTTATTATACGCCTGTATTTAATATTTTTTGGCAGAATCTTGTATTGCATGATTAATATATTGAAAGTATGTCTGCATGTATGGATATCTATAATTAACGACTTCCCATGACAACTACCCAGTCATCCACAAAACAAAACACCTGTAGAAGAAACATCAATCACAAAATCACAAAAATATATTGTCGGCGAATTGGCTGTCGGCGAATCGTCCAGTCGGCGAATTCGATTTCGGCGAATTACGGTGTCGGTGAATTTTCTTTCGGTCAACTGTCTGTCGGCCAAACGTCGTCGGCAAACTGGCATTCGGCGAAATGTCCTAGTACCATCTTAACTCACGCAAAGCCATCGTGATTGATATACTATCCACCGTACAATCTAGCGTCATCTATTTGCATAAACAATGGCATTTCCAACACAGAACATCTATACGTGGATACTCGACGATCTATACAATGCGGACGATACCAGCTTACCTTTGTCACTCATCGCCAACATTCAACGGATATACCAGTACGACAAGACTGAGATTACGGAATTCGTAAAGCTGTTTCCCGAATATGAACATGGTGTGCTATACTAGGGGCAGGTTATCTCTTACTGCTGATGATATATACGTTATTGGATTCAGTATCGTTAATCAGACTTTGGACTCTTGGCTATCAAAAGTTTTTAAGAATAAAAGTGGAGGTATGAATGAATCTACTTTATGCAGGCCATTAATAAATCCAGGTGATGTTGTAGATATTAAAGCCCCATTCCCGGCAAAATTTCACTAAAAATGACTTTTTTTTTAGAAAATATGCATTTGCATTACTCCAATTATTATAAATCATG